AGATTTAAAGGATTAGAAAAAGGGACTAGACTTTAATCTAGATGATTAAAAAATGGACTCTACTCACGATCAAACTTTGATTTAGATTTTAAGGATAAAAAATGGTCTCTACTGACGATCTAACTTGATTTTTATTATAAAAAGGGACTCTACTGACAAGCAAACTTTATTATTTATTTAGAATTTAAAAAAAGGGACTACTGACGAGCAAAGTTTAATTTGATCTTAATGATGAACAAAGGAACTCTACTGACGAGCTAAATTTGATTTGGATTTTAAAAATGAAAAAGAGACTCTACTGACGAGCAAACTGCAGTTTTGGTCTAGGATTTGAAACAGGACTCTACTGACGAGTAAACATAATTTTGGTTTTAAAAATAAAAGAGACTCTACTGACGAGCGAACTTTGATTTAAATATAATGAATTAAAATGGACTCTACTGACGAGCAAAACTTTGATTTAAATTTAAAAGATCAAAAAAGGAACTCTACTGACGAGCAAATTTTGTTTTAGATTTAGAAGATCAAAAATGGTACTCTACTGACGAGCAAATTTCGATTTATATCTAATTTGACTGACGAGCAAGCTTTGATTGAGATTTAAAAAATTAAAAAGGGACTCTACTAAATTAAATTTGATCTTAATGACAAAGAAAGGGACTCTACTGACGAGCAAACTGAAATTTGTGTGAAAATTAAAAAAAGAACTCTACCGACGAGCAAATTTTATTTTTGATTTAAAGAAATAAACTTTGATTTAGAATTCAAAATATAAAATGGGACTCTACTGACGAGCAAACTTAATTATTTTAAAAAGGGATTCTACTGACAAATTAAATATTTATTTTAAAAAAGGACTCTACTGACGAGCAAACATAATTATATTTTAAACGAAACTCTTCTGACGATCTAACCTAATTTTATTTCAAAAAGGGACTCTACTGGCGAGCAAACTTGACTTTTATTTTAAAAAGGGACTCTACTGACGAGCAAACTTAATTTTGATTCACAATATAAAATAAATCGCCTAGAGCCGATTCATCGAAATTAAAGTTTGCTAGCAAGTAGAGTCTCTTTTTCAATACATAAATATATTAATATATGAATGTTTTGCACGAATTTATAGAGTCAATATGTATGATTTTTTGATAGTACTCCTCGAGACCTTTCATTTGATACCCCACATGCCTATATTTGAAGTTAAACTTTCCACCACAATAGACCAACCTCACCTATCCCTTTATACTATCGTGACTTAAGAAGTTTTACTTCACCTTCCTTCATACGCGTGTGGTATTTCGCTTTGTCTTTAGACGATCTTCCGTGGTGATGATGGAACCTTTCCCAGCTATTGGTTGACGATGGCATCTGAGTTGAATGGGTTATTATGCTGTCACTAGTAGAAGAGAAAATTAATGTTAATAGTTTATCTTGAAGTATCTTGGTTTGTTGAGTATGTTATTAAGATATTTGTATAGTGCTCGTCGAGACCTTTCATTTGATATCCAACATGCCTATATTTAAAGTAAAACTTCTTAACTCATGTTGGACCGAGAGTTCTGGAACCCAATGGTCTACCTGTTATTAAAATTGTTATAACTTTTGAACGGTGCGTCCGAAGTGAATGCAATATTCGGTGAATTTGTGCTAAATTAAATTATCTTTAATATTATATTGTATGGTATTACTCTACAACAACTTAGAATTTAAATAACTAATCTGTAGGAAACCCTATTGGTTTTTTGAGTATGTTTCTAATATATTTAAAAAGTACTCGTCGAGACCTTTCATTTGATACCCAACATGCCTATATTTAAAGTAAAACTTTTTAACTCATGTTGGACCAAGGGTTCTGCAACCCATTGGTCTACTTTTGTTACATTTTTTGTAACTTTTGAACCGTTTGTCCAAAGTAAATAGTTTGTTCGACAATTTTGCTCTAAATTTATTATTTATATTTAAATGCAAATTAAAACATTTTCCCCAACTTGATATACTTTCAAATAGCAAAAATTGATGTCCGAATTCAAATAAATAAGTTTGTACGGAACCCTGTAAGGTCGTTTAGTACGTCACTACTATATATGGATAGTGCTCGTCGAGACCTTTCATTTGATACCCAACATGCCTATATTTGAAGTAAAACTTTTAAGCTCATTTTGGACTTATTGCACTACTTATAATACGACAACTAGCTCATGCATATATTCACTAAATATCTTGTAACTTTTGATCTATTTGTCGGCGTGAAGTGCAAATTTTTACAAAATTAAATAATACATAATACTCTCTATTATTTAATCTCTATGGCAACTCGGTTTAGTATAAATTGACATTGTAAACAAAAAATTAGTACTGCATTCTTGATAATTATAATATACGGAATCCTATGGATTTGTTTAGCCTATAATTGATATGTTTGGATAGTGCTCGTCGAGACCTTTCATTTGATACCCAACATGTCTATATTTGAAGTAAAACTTGTTAATTCATGCTTGAACCACATTTGTGCAACTTGGTATACTTTCAAATAGCAAAAATTGATATCAGAAATTAGATAAATAAGTTTGTACGGAACTCTATTGATTTATTAGAGGCGATATTATGATATTTGTATAGTGCTTGTCGATTCCTTTCATTTGATACCCAACATGCCTATATTTAAAGTAAAACTTCTTAACTCATATTTGACCCGCTGTACTATTCATAGTACGACAACTGGTACGTGTGCATTTGTTCATTGTATCGCTTGTAACTTTTGAACAGTTTGCCCAGAACGAATGAAACATTCTATAAATTTGTTTAGAACTAAATTGCATATGATGCTTTCTAATATACCAAGTACCTACAGCAATTCTGTATACTTTAAAATGCAATAGAAACAAGAATATCAGTTTTAAATATTAGATATATGTAAGTGTACGGAACCCTGTCGGTCTGTTTTGGACCTCAATGATATATTTGTATAGTCCTCGTCGAGACATTTCATTTGATACCCAACATGCCTATATTTGAAGTAAAACTTCTTAACTCATTTTAGACCCCGAGCTCCGCAACCCATTGGTCGACTTTTTATTAAATCTCTTGTAACTTCTGAACCGTCTGTCCAAAATGAATGCAACATTCGGCAAATTTGCTCTAAATTCAATAATCTACAATATTGTCTTGTATCATAATGCTCTACAGCAACTCGGTATGCCCTAAAATGATTTTTTACAAATATATTTACATGTATTTGTCTTCGCATTGACCGCAACTTCTCGACAATTGACCACCACTGCATTTTGGATTCAAGCACTCTGGATTTGCGCACGCTTCTATTCTCTGAAAATAATAAATAGAACTGTACAGACGAGCAAAGTTTATTTTAAAAAAGGACTCTACTTTAAATATTTATGTAAAATTATCATACATCAAATCAAAGAAAAATATGTTCAGATTAGAATTATGAAGATTCATATCTGGCCTGCGTTGCAGTGGGTAAACAATCCATATAATTTGCATTAACTGTTTCTTTCTCTTATATAACTTACCTCATCTTATTACATTGACAATCAATATATATAAATGTTTGTTATTGTTAAATGAACTTTGCCGGGCCAGCTGATATATATATATATATATATATATATATATATATATATATATATATAATTAATATTTATTTCAATTTTTTTTAAACCGTCTCTAATTTTTGTTTCAGGTAAGCACAAAGAACTCGACTGTAACACAAATTCTGTTCAAGGTGATAAGATTACAAGTAAGATTAGTAATATATATATATATATATATAATATATAAATTACGAGAGGACTCTACTTTTAACGTATATATCAAAAACTAAGGGGAAGAAGGGACTCTACCCCTGACCAAATAATAAAACTTACATCTATACACTTTTTATACACATTTCTAATCTGCAACTTAAAATAAATGTTGTTTATAAAAAGGGACTCTACTGATGAGCAAACTAAAAGAAGGGACTTTACTGATGAGCAAACTAAAATAAGGGACTTTACTGATGAGCAAACTTTAATTTTCATCTAGATTACAAAAAAGAACTCCACTGACGAGCAAACTAAATATAAATTTAAAATACAGAAAAGGGACTCTACTGACAAGCAAACTTCAATTTTAATCAAAAATACATAAAAGGGACTCTACTGACAAGCAAACTTGAATTTTGATCTAAAATACATAAAAGGGACTCTACTGACGAGCATACTTCAATTTTTATCTGGATAATAAAAAAAGGGACTCTACTGGCAAGCAAACTTCAATTTTGATCTAGAATACATAACAGGGACTCTACTGACAAGCAAACTTCAATTTTGATCTAAATTGCAAAAAAGGGACTCTACTGACAAACAAACTTAGAATACAAAAATTGACACTACTGACGTGCAAAATAAATTGAAAAATACAAAAATAAAAAGGGACTCTACTGACGAGCAAAATTTATTTCTGATTTCGATTATTAAAAAAGGGAACTCTACTCTAATTTTGATCCAAACATTTAAAAGGGACTCTACTGACGAGCAAAATAAAAAAGGGACTCTACTGACAAACAAACTTAGAATACAAAAAGAACTGTACTGACGAGCAAAATCCAAATATTCCATTTTGAAAAAAATTGCAACCAACCAACTATAATTATAGTATATACTCTATTATAGATTATTTGCAACTATCTCTATTACGAAGGGGACTCTAATCTGTATTAGAAAGGGACTCTACTGACCGAGCAAACTGAATACTAGATTCTTAACAAATTAGTAACATTTATTTATAAAAAAGCGACTCTAATGACACTAAAACTCTTCATATATTCAAAAATGATTCAAAAAAGGGACTCTACTGACGAGCAAATTGATATAAATATTTCATTTGCAAACAAACAAATTAAAATTACAAAGAGAAACTTTACTGTCGAGCAAACTGAACATCTAGAATATAAAAAGGACTCTACATTCGAGCAAAATCAATATTTAAAATACTAAAAAGGGACTCTACTGACGAGCAAACTGAATTTTTAAAAAAGAACTCTACTAACAAGCAATTTAAATATCAAAATAAAATGATAAATGGACTCTAGAGACAAGTAAATTAAAATGCAAACTAGAAGATACAAAGAGAACTCCACCGACGAATGAATTCAAATTAAAAATTGACTTAAAATAAAAAAAGGACTCTACTGACAAACAACTTTAATTGGAAAACTGAAAGATCACTTTTATTGTAGAATATTAAAATCGAACTCTACTAACGAGCAAACTTTAGTTTTGATCAATATCATTAAAAAAAGGGACTCTACTGACGAGCAAAATAAATTTCAAAATACAATATTGAAAAAGGGACTCTACTAACGATCAACCTTACTTTTTATCTAAAAGAGATCATTTAAAATATAAAATGGACTGACGACAAAATTAAATATGAATTTAAAATACAGAAAGAGACTTTACTAACGAGTAAATATTTTTTTGATCTAAAATATTAAAAAAAACTCTAAATTTAAAAAAACACAAAGGGACTCTACTGACGTCCCTGTTTTGATCCAAACGAGTACAAAATGACTTTACTAACGAGCAAACATTTTTTAATCTAAATTGCAAAAAAGGGACTCTACTGACGAGCAAACTTTAATTTTCATCCAGAAAATTAAGAAAAGGACTCTACTGACAAGCAAACATTAATTTTGATCTAGAACATATAAAAAAGGGACTCTACTGACGAGCAAACAATAATTTTAATCTTGAAAATTAAAAAATGAATCTACTGACGAGCAAACTTATTTCTATCAAAAATATATCAAAATGGAACTTTATTGACGTGCACAGAATTAATAAAAAAAAACACAAAAAGAGACTCTACTGACGACCAAATAAAACTTTCAAAAAATCGGCTTATATACACGCTTTTTTTAATCTGGTCTCAAGCGATTCAGAATGACTTGAAGCATCGAGAAAACATAAAATTTACAAGTCGAGGCCATATTTACAGACCTGGATGTAGAAAATACCTCAAAGGGACTCTACTGACCGAGAAAACTGAATACTAAATTCTTAACAAATTAGTAAAATGTATTTATAAAAAAAGACTCTACTGACAACACTTAAACTCTTTATACATACAATTAAAAAAAAAGGGACAAATTATTAACTATCTATCTCTATTACAAAAAGGGACTCTACTGACAAGCAAACTTTAATTTTGATATAAAATACATAAAAAGGACTCTACTGACAATTTTGATCTAAAATACATAAAAGGGACTCTACTGACGAGCAAACTTCAATTTCGATCTATCTCTATTACTAAAGGGACTCTACTGACAAGCAAACTTCAATTTGATCTAAAATGCAAAATAGGACTCTACTGACAAGCAAACTTTAATTTCCATCTAGAAAATTAAAAAAGGGACTCTACTGACAAGCAAACTTTATTACTTTGAGCTAAAATATAAAAAATGGACTCTACTGACGAACAAACTTTGATTTTGTTCTAGATTATTAAAAAGGACTCTACTGACGAACAAATTTAATTTTTATCTAAATGTTTAAAAAGCGACTTTACCGACAAGCAAACTTCAATTTCGATCTAGAATATAAAAAATGAACTCTAATAACGAGCAAAATGAAAATATTATATTTGCAAACATATTAGTAATTACCTATCTATCTCTATTATAAAGTGGACTTCATTCTATATTAGAAAGAGACTCTACTGATAAGCAAACTAAATAGAAATCTTTTATACAAGAAGGGACTCTACTGACAAGCAAACTTCAATTTTTATCTAGAATACATGAAAGGTACTCTATTGTGGAGAAAACTAAATATAAATTTAGAATACAGAGAAGTGACTCTATTGACGAGCAAACTTCAATTTTGATCTACAATACAAAAAAGGAGTCTACTGACGAGCAAACCTAAATTTTGATCTAGAATATAAAAAATAAATTTAACTGACGAGAAATTTAAAGAGTGGTCTAAATTTTAAAAAAGGGACTCCACTGACGAGCAAACTTTACTTTAATTACTTCGATTGGGAAGATCAAAAAGAACTCTACTGACAAGCAAAGTTCAATTTTCATCTAGATTACAAAATGGGACTCTATTTTTAAGGGACTTAAAAATTTATCTAGAGAGTGAAAAAGGGATTCTACTGACAAGCGAATGCTAATTTGTATCTAGATAGTGAAAAGATACTCTACTGACGAACAAACTTTGATTTTTTATATAGAATGTTTTAAAAAGGGACTCTACTGACAATCAAACTTTAATTTCGAACTAGAATATTGAAAAGGGACTCTACTGACGAGCAAACATTATTTTCGAACTAAAAGTTCAATAAAGAATTCTACTGACGAGCAAAATAAAAGATGGTTTTGATTTGTATTTAAACTGAAAAAAAAATAAAAATAAAAATAAATAATAATATATGGTTAAGCAAAATATATAATGAACTGTTAATCGATAAAGAATACCAATGACGAAAGGAAAGGAAAATAAAGAAATATGATAAAGAAATTGAAGATTGAATAGATATTTAAAGATATTTTAATTATAATAAATATTATATTGTAGTATAATGAAATAGACATATGTATATATATATATATATATATATTATATATATATATATATATATGTATATATATATATATAATAAGAAAATTGTATCATAATCTCTCATACCAGACATCCCTGTCAGACTGAGATATGAAAAAAACTAGCTGTAAGTGGAGTTCTGTCTTAAGGCAATTAAGGCATCGTGCCTTAAGGCAAATTGCTGGAACTTCCCGTGCCAAAAATTATTATTTTTTTAAAAACGATTAACATTTTTGAAAAAATTTTACTTCGAAAAAATAAGATTTTTTAGAAATTTTAAATTGGACAAAAAATTACTTTTTTTTGAAAAAAAAATTTTTTTAAAAAAAAATTTTTAAACAATTTTATTTATAAAAATTTTTTTTTTGAAAAAATGTTATCTTCATTTTGATATATTTTGGAAGATCTGAACTTTTTTTCAAAGCAATCGTACTGCTTTAACTGCATAGAGACAAAATATAAAGCGCGTAAGCGCCGCGTCGCTGTCTAACGGAAAAACAATGGTACGGAACCCATAGGAATGTAAACAAAACTTATACTTATTGTTAAAATCTCAATAAAATATCTGATAATTTGATATGCATATGTCTAATGTCTAATGATTATTGTTGACCGCCAAATGTTATTTTTTTTTTAGTTTTTTTTACTAGATCTCCGAAACCGCTAGACCTATCTTCATGAAAATTTGATCAAATCTTCATCTTGTTAATACAAGTAAAATGTTTTTTGAACTATACAAATCGGACGCTCCGTTCTCTTAAAAACTGAGTTACCGTTTTTGGCCCTTTTTGCCCCATATCTTCGGAACGGCTAGAATGTTTTTTGAATTATTCAAATTGCTTCATCCGTGTTCCCGAAATCGTCGACGAAAATTTGTATCCGAACACACACACATGCACACACACACACACACACATACATCAATTTTCTCCAACCTCTGAAACGTGAAGATATATAAAAATTTTCATTTTCGATTTTTTTGCGATTACTTACCCTATGGAAAGTTAATTATAAATAAATCAATTTATCATCTCCAGAACATTAACAATCGTCATTTCATTTCGAATCAAATTCCAAAAAAAAATAGTTGCCAAATTTACACAAAATTGAAAAAGTGCTCCCGCATAGTCACAGTCTAAACGCATTT